TTTCATCTCATCTCCTGTTCACAGCACTTCCTTTTACCTGGTACGTCATGTCCAGCTATCAAGAAAAGAAACAGAAGCCTTACTAAACTGCAAAAAGACAATTAGAAGAGACAGAGCAAACCTCAAAACTAGACACGTCAGGGATGTTAGAATTATCAGACAATGAATTTAAAGCAGTAATTAATATGCTGGGAGCTTCAGTGGACAAAATAAACATAATGCAAAGACAAATGTAGATAAAGAAATAGAAATCTTTAAAAAGCACAGAAGAAATGCTAGAGATCAGCAACAGTCACATAATTCCTTTGATGGGTCTATTAGACTATATGTCAGAGGAAAGAATATCAGAACTTGAGGAGATCGCAAAAATTGAATAGCAAAGAGAACTAAGACTGACAACAAAGCAAACAGGCAAAACTCCTCTGAACAAAATATCTAATGACTGTGGGACATCTACAGAGGTGTTACATATATGCAATAAAAACATTAGAAAAAGAAACAGAGAAAGGAGCAGGCGACATATTTGAACAATAACAATGGAGAATTTCTCCAAACTAATGTCAGATACCAAATCACAGATGTAGGAAGTTCAGAGAACACGAAAAAGGATAAATGCCAACTAACAAATAAACAAAAAACTGTACCTAAGCATTTCATTTTCAAATTATAGAAAATCAAGACCAAAGGGAAAAAAAAATCCTGTAATGAATACCAAAATACAGTTGGACTGGAAGAATTAATTTCCTATAAGTACAACAGGTTAACTATACAATAATTTATTATTTATTTTAAATAAGAGATTGGAAACTCATAACACATTAAAAGAATAAAAGTTTAGGGTCAGGCATTTAGCTTACTGCATTGCACCGAGCCTGCTCGCAAGCACAGGTTATCAAATTTTGATACTATTATATCACAAATATGTACAAATATTATATGCCATTTAAAAAAAACCCTGAAAAAAACCATGGGGTGAACATACTTTACATACAGAGGATGTAAAAGATAAGAATTTCTCTTTTTCTCAGATAAGATGAAGATAAGAACTTCTTTTTAGAGACCATGCACTGAAGGAGACAGTGGCACAGAATATTTAAAATTTTAAAATTGTGGGGATTTAGCTCAGTGGTACCAAGGTCCTGAGTTTGATCCATGGTACAGGGGGGAAAAAAAGCTAAGATAAACACACCAAACTAGAATTATCCACCTTGTGAAATTATAGTGTTACCTCATTTGAAAGCTTTTGTTTGCTAACAATTTGGTTCGTATATGGAAAGATGTTCCACATATATTCCATCAGGAAAATGCAAATTAAAACCAAGAATTATTGCTACACACCCGTTAGAATGATCACCATACACAACGCTGACCCTGTACTATTAAGAGTGTGGAGCAACACAAATTCTCTTTCATTTATTGTTGTTCGGAATATAAAACAGTACAGCTGTTTAGGTGGATAATATGTCAATTTCTTATATAATAACATTTTCTTACCATATGACCCAGAAATCTTATTCTTTCTGGATATCTTTGGTATTTACCCAAAGGAGTTGAAAGCTTATAAAAGATATCTGTACTAAAATCTGGACATGGGTATTTGTATCAGCTTTATACACAATTTCCAAAATTTAGAATTAACTAAACTGTCTTTCAGTAGGTGAATGAATAAATTGTGGTATGTAAGACTGCGGAAAATTATCTGGCACTAAAATGAAATAAATTACAATAAAACATAAAAATGGAGGAAACTTAAATACACATTACAAAGCAAAAGAAGCCAATCTGTTTAGGATATAAACTGTATGATTCCAACTATGTGACATTCTAAGGGAGATGAATCTATGGAAACAGTAAAAATATTTATACAATGGATAATAAACGAAAGACTTTTAAATATTTTGTTATTCTGTAAGGATGAAGCCATAATAAAAGTCAGTTTTAATTACAACATTAAATACAATAGCAGAAATGAATTGGTAATGACATAGAAGACATTAGTGGGATAATTGTACAGGTATTGCTGAAGATTTTCCAGTGTTCATTCTATCAACTAAGAATATAATCCAAGCAAGAGTGTAAAGGTAGAACATAGACAGAAGCTGAGACCTCAAGGGTCCTGTGAACACCACCAAATGTTTTTAATGCAAATTCCCCCAGGAATAAGCAGACTGTCTAGGTTATCATTTGCTTAGTCTCTCAGTGGGCTGAGCAATTTTCTTTCTGGGAAACTAAAATTCTGTCATCTCCACAAACTTTAGGACAAGCACAGAAAATTATCAAGGCTCTCACAAAATGCGTCTTTCAAAGGCTTTCATATTGCCATTATCTTGAATAGCAAAATGATCTACCCATTCTGGGACCCAGAGATTATTTATCAGGTAAAAGCCTCCCCATATCTATGTATTTGAAAAATTTACTTCAAATCCTAAATTCTATCCATTACAGACCTTAGGATATTTATAATATCTCCAGAATTGTCAGGTTCAAGCAGCATTTCCAAAATACCTGCTGAAACAGACCTTATATAATCTGAAACCTACAGATGTGGTCATTTCAAAAAGCTCTAGAACAAGACTCCCTTGGGCATTGATAGGACCTTTTCAAATACAAACTGATTTGTTGTAAAATTCACAGATCTATGATTTTTAATTAAAAATAATATGAAACTTTCTGACTGTTGGACATCAGGAAACCTGAAACAGTATTGTTGGGAATTCTTCTAGGAACTCAAAACTGAAGGAGACAGCTTTTGCCCTAGACAAATAAAACCATTTAAAATGTTTTTCTAATTAATTTTCTAAGTTTTCAGCTCTTCTGATATCACCTAGTATTGTATTTTTACATTTTCCCCTGGACCAACATTAATGGGGAGTAATTTTAAGAACATTTACATAGAAACAAAAAATCTACAAATGTCAGTTCTTCGTTAATGAGCCACAAAGTACTAATGACATTTCTTACTACTTTGAGTTTAGGAATCATTAACCTAAAAATATCATAATTTATTCAAAAAGGGAGACCGCTTGGACATTACTTGTGTTTAAAAGATGAAGTATCATTTGGGAGAACTCCCTGTGATGAAACTGACTTGCTTAAATTCATCCACCCCTTTGTCACTTCAACAATTACCAGGGGCTCCCACCCATTTATTCACTCGGTAGTTACTAATGGTCGACTATGTGCCAAGTAAAGGGTAAGGCATAGGGATCTGACATCAGAGGTCTCTAGTCCTTTGGTTTTTTAGGAAGACACAGCTAAGTAAAAAGCCAAGAAATAGAGTTTTCTGATAATAGTTACGAATGCAGAGCATGTGGGACAAACTAGTGGTCGGTTCTTTTTAGTACTTGTGTTTAGGGTGAGGTTCAGGAAGACATTAAGGGGTGAGGACATTCGTGATATATGGTTTTTCTAAATAGCTGCAAACTGCCAAAACTTGGCATAGGAAATGATCATCTGTGTAGACACTGCCCCCTATAACAAAATTTGAGCGAGGTCAAGGAATTTGGTTATGGCAACCACAAAATTACCTTTTCTCTCTTCTGATATAACAAGAGGAATTTTTTAAAAATAAGGGACTCACGGGGTGTTCGATTAAGGTACACAGCCGATGGGTGTATTTATTTCAACGTTTTCACTCCGCAAGGACGCCAATGAACCTGAGTGCAGCTTAAAAAGTCAAGAGTCTGAAAGCGTTCTACTCCGTACAATCTGGGGTTTCTGTCAAAAGTATCTTTCCAGGGGTATGGGGAAAAAATAAGAACCAAGACATGTCATGTAAAGATACAAGATCTTTACATGTGACTGTATTGTTTGTTTTAAATGTACCGATAAACTTTTAAATGTACCGATAACGGGGGAAAAGAAAAGCAGCTTTCCCAACTACAGTAGCTCGTGGCCCTTTGGGATTAGCTGGAGAAGCCAGGATGGGAAAAGTTGTCTTCTAAGGAAAGGAGCGAGAAGATCCCACACTTATAATATACTGTTGGCTTGCTAGACGCTTTCACCTATTCCCTTATTTAATCCCATTTTCTCCATTAACCAACTGATGCTTCCGGGAGGTATGAAACAAGACTAAGGTTAAAACAGCAGCTTCCAAAACGGACGGACTTGGTCTTTGCCACTCTGTAAATCCGCCTAAAATCAAAGCGGAGCAAAATAAAATCCCCAAACCCCAAACGCGAAGCCCCGGTCTCCTGAAAGTGTTTATCCAGATTACCGAGACCGACAGGTCTCTGGTGCTGTGGGTCCGGTGTAGACGGGAAGGTACCGCTAGCTCCGCGGAGCCCATCAGGTCCGCCCTGGCCAACGCTGGGAGCCGAGGCCCGGGGATCCCAGTGCGCGCTCTCGGGGGGAAATGAAG